CTTTTCGCGTGACCTTGGATCGGGTAAGGATCGTCACCCCGATTCGGGCACCCGTGACCCCAAAAATCGGGCTCACACTACGTACAGTACGTTAATACGATTTATCTTTGGTAACTCTTGTTTATCTTATTATAGAGTTTTTTATGATGATTTCTTATAGGTAAATGAAATTGTTAGTGTAATAGTTACTTGTTATTTTTCAAGCAGTGGATACAAATTTTATAAGTTTGAATTTATATTTATTTGTAAAGATTGGACATGCGGTTTATTGCAAATTCGACTTGACGCATTACTATAAGTATAATACATCTTTATCAGATAAAGAATAAGCAAGATGTGACAACCATGGTTGTGGGTATTAGATTTTATGCGGTGTGAGACCTGGCCGGTTGGGGTCCATCACCAAATTTGGAAAAGGGGATCAATCACATTCATTACATCCATTGCATCTGTCGCATGTGACTGATCAGCCACATCAGTCACATATGACAGATATGACTGATAGCAGCAATTGGTCAGAAGAGTCCTTTAGGTACTATCAGTCATATGCATTATGAAATATAAATAGAAGTAAACAATTATAAATAAAAATCGAAAGGTCCTTTAGAAAGAACAACAATTTCCACCTTTAATAAATAAAATAATACATTCACTAATACATAATCTGTTCTTAACTTGTAAACACTAACTTCTGTTAGAACATTTACCAAATAACTAACCTGAAATTCTCTTACAATTCAGTAGACCTGATTAGAACTTGTTAACCATTTGTCAAATCTAACATGCCTTATTGACTTAATATTAACCCAAAGTGGTTATGTGATATACTTGATTTTGGAGTCACTGATCCAATAATCTTTTTCTATTTACAATTTGAAGGTGATTGTGAGATCTGAAATGATGATAACCTATAATATAAGAAACATAAAGATTAAATTGATTAAAAAAAAGAATAAGAAAAACAACTGAATTTTAGCATACCTAAAAAGACAAATAATATATAATGTTTACCCATCATTGATATTAAACTAATCTTGAAAATGAATTGAAGCCTGAATAATAAAGACACAAACATTATAAGCCTTGTAGAATTTTTAACTAATTAAAAAAGATCCTAACAAGATGTATAATGCTTTTATTGTAAAACAAGAGATCATATTATTATTAAGTACTTACATGTAGCCTTCTTACAAGAAAAATGCACAGTTTTTTTTGCTATATTCACTGAAGAATAAGCTGATGAAGTTCAAGAGATTATTAACAAATCATCTGGAAAGTGTCATCTTAATAATAAACAAATTTTCTATACTCTTGAATTCATTCTGACAGTATTAGAAGAAACACTTAAAGATGTCAAGAAGAAGAAAAAACCTGTTCCTTATAATTGTTTTTGTCCTATATTCTAAAAAGAATATTTTACAAAAATCAAAAAAGATTCTATTTTTGTAATCTTTATACTAGAAGTTTTTTTGAAGTTTTAACAACTAGTACCTTTTGTAACTGACACTTATAATGACTCTGATAAATTCACAAAAGGATTCTTGACTTAGAACACCATCTTTGACAACTAGTTGCTAAATATGAAGCTTTTTCATAAAGGTGGGTCTCAGAAAAAATTCTAGAATTTCTGCTAGAAAGTGGTATTAAAGAAAAAAAAAGTAAGACATCTGATTATTACCAAAAACTAGCCAAGATAAATAAAATAATTAAGAAAAAGAAAAAGAAAAACTTACTAAAAAAGAATCTACTAAAGCTGAAAGAGATGTAATGAATATTGGTAAGTATTATTATCAAATCAAAGTCAAAAAGAATAGATATAAAGTCTTTAAATACTATCAAAAACCTGCAAAAAGGAAGAATGCCAATAGTATATATTATATTTAGATCTAGTTATAAAAAGAGAATTAAAATTAAAAAAAAACCTGAAATACATATTCATTATCGAAAACCTAATGATACATACTATAAAGATAAAAATAAAGTATTTGGAAGGTCTTCTAAGATCATAAAATAGAAATTCAAACCTGATAATAATAAAACTGATAATACTGATAACAATGATAATAATAATAATGATAATAATGGAACCAAGATTGAAAAGAATTGAATTGAAGTTAAAAAGACTGAACAAAAAAATCTTGATGTGTAATATTTGCATTAAAAAACCTAGATAAATCCTATTAAGATTGAAATAAAAAAGTTAATAAGTTCAAAAGTTTAATCTAAAATGTTTTAAATGAACCTGCCAATGCCAAAAAAAAGTACTAAATATTGAAATTGAAGTTGAAAAGAATGATTCTAAAGCACCTAAATAGTATTCAAAGAAGGCTAAGAAAGGTAATTCAGATGGATGGTTGATTCAAAATGACTCAAAAGAACTTGCTAATATCAAAGAAGTGATACTAAATATTGGAATTAAAGTTAAAAGAATGGTTCTAAAGCACTTAAATAGTGTTGAAGAAGACTAAGAAGGATTATTTTGATGGGTAGTTAATTCAGGATGACCTAAAAGAACCTGTCTTGTCAAAGATAAGGCATTGAATATTGGAATTAAAATTAAAAAGAATGATTATAAAGCATCTAAATAGTATTTAAAGAAGGCTAAAAAGGGTAATTCTGATGAACAGTTGATCCAAAATAATTCAAAAGTCCTGCTAATGCTAAAGAATATAAGAATAAAATTGGAATTAAAAAATAAAAATGTAATGCTCTTTAATACTTACTAACATATAGTTTATATATCTTTGAACTCAATGGTTAAACCTTGTTTCATGGAACTTAATATTAAGTCAAAGAGAAATGTAAGACCTGAATGGATGCTAGCCAGTTGGAGTCCATCACTAAGAAAGGTTAATTGTATTCATCACATCTGTCATATGTGACTAATCAGTTATATTAGTTATATATAATAGATATGACTAATAGTAGCAATTGGTTAGAAGGGTTTTTTAGATAATATCAATTATATATTGTACATTGTAAAATGTAAATAGAAATAGACAATTATAAATAAAAATTGAAAGGCCTTTTGATAAGAATAATAATTTCTACTCTTGACAAATAAAATAATATATTTACTAATATATTATCTGTTTATAACTTGTAAACACTAACTTCTGTTAGAACATTTACTAAATAACCAATCTAAAATCCTCTCATAATTCAGTAAACCTAATTAGAACTTGTTAACTACTTGCTAAATTTAATATATCTCTTTTAACCCAATATTAACTCAGAGTAGTTATATAATATACCAAATTTTGGAGCTATTGATCCAATAATCTTTTATTATTCAAAGCAATAAAGTTTTTTTATAATTTTTTCTTTAGTAACAAAGCCTTTTTCTTTTTAAGAAACTTTTAAAAATTAAATTTTCTAACTATTCTTTTTATAAATAAATTAAGATAATTTTTTAGATTATTTAATTAGAAAAAAAATTATAACATCTATATTTTTAGACCTAAAACATATGAGCTATAAGTAACCAAAACTACCCAACTGCATTATCAAAAATTTTTAGTTGCACAAAATTTGTACTACATTTAAGCCAATAGAATTTCATCTGATTAGTTACAAGTAAAGATTAGGGAGAATTAATTTTACAAATATAGAATTGTTGCTCATAAATAATTTTAGTAATTATACAATTCTATATACATACGATTATAGAAATAATGTAATTTTTACAATTCTACATTGTAGAATTGTTAATTAATAATCATATACTAATTTAGTAATTCTACAATTTTATATTTGTAGAATTGTAGATTGCTTGCAGAATTGTAAATTATTTGTAGAATTTAGAATTATAGATTATTAACTACATCAAAAGTTATATTTTTAATTAGGGTGCTTACTCTACATAGCATAAATAATATATTAGTTTTTTCTTTATAAATTAACTTTTTTGTAGTGAAAATTTATTAAAATTAATTATAAACTCTAATAAAACTCAGGCAAAGTAAAAAAAAAATGTTATTACTTTAAAGAGCATATTAAGAGAACTTTAATAAATATAGTTTTTTAGCTAATTAATCTGTAATACTCATTACATTTGCTCCTAATACTAATTATATTTATTCTTGATATAAGGTAGCTGTGTGATACAGTTATGCTAGAAACCAGAAACTAAAGCAAATATAAAGTTAATAAATAGTTATTAATATATTGTAAATATACTATAAGTAATTGATTTGTATTAGCTAATCAAACAAAAGTTTACAAGCCATTATATAATAAATTATCAGGTTATTATATTATTCAGAAAATTATTTATCATTGCTTTTGACTAATTATAATAATTTAACTATTCAATAAACCAGATAAGTATGAAGATTAATTCTGTTCACCTTAATAATTGCATTTCAAAAGAATATATAATTAATCATAATTATTTAATTATTCAATAATTTATTAGGATATAAATATTAATTTTGTTTACTTTAATGATTGTTTTTTAAAAGAATGTATTATTTACTATAATTATTCAATTGTTTAGAATGAGTATAAACTTTAATTTTGTTTACTTAATATTTTGTTTCAAGAAAATGTATTATTAATTATAAGCAATTTTTCAATAAATTACTAACATAAATATAAAGTTTAATTCTGTTTATTTTAATATTTGTGTTTCAAAAGAATATAATTAACATAATCATTTAATAAATTACTAGTAGATATGAAGTTTAATTCTGTTTACTTTAATATTTATGTTTTAAAAAATATATTATTAATTATAATTATCTAACTATTCAATAAATTACCAATATGAATATAAAGTTTAATTCTGTTTGCTTTAATATCTAGGTTTTAAGAGTGTATAACTAATCATAATCATTTAATCATTTAATAAGTAATAGTATAAAATGAAGTTTAATTCTGTTTACTTAAATAATTATGTTTAAAAGAAAATATAACTAACTATACTTAATTAATTATTTAATAAATCACTAGTGCAAGTATGAAGTTTGATTCTGTTTACTGAATGTATGAGTAACTGTAATCATTTAATTATTTAATAAATTACCAGTATAAATATAAAGTTTAGTTCTGTTTATTTTAAAAATAAGCATTTTTAATAAAAAAAAAACAAATAAGATAGATGGCATAAATGTGTTATCTATAACACTAATTTAATAATAAGTATATAAATCTAATATATAAACCTTCTAATATACTGATAATAAAAATAAAAAACAGATTACTTGCTATTATAAAAACATTATGTTTTTTATTTTATTTTAAGCAAACAAGCTAAATATATATTTTTTATTTTCACAAAATTTGTTTCTCTTTATCTTTTTCTTTTTTTAGACTGGTTACTATCATCTTGATTATTTCTATCTATTTTATTATATTCATTATTAGAATTTTGTTTATTGTTACTATTTTATATATTTAGATCTATATAATGTTTATCCTTAAGTGATAAATTAATTTTGTCATCAACAATAGTTAAAGTAAATAATGTTTTAAATAACTTAGAAGTCAAATTATTGTTATGTTCAGTAGAAGAAAATTTTTTAGATGATTGATCAGTTAAACAATCAATATTATCTGCTATAATGTCAATAATTGAATGAGAGTTTGAAGACATAAAAGAAGAAATTCTTGATATATTAAAATTTTAAAAAATTGATTTTAAGTAATCAATATCAGTTGCTTCTATTATTATTTTTTTAGAGTTTGAAAATTTGAATAGATCTAATACAAGGTAGATATTTTCTACTTTAATATTAGAGCCTAAAAATCCCAAATATTTAAATCTTATAGAATTGAAAAGACAAAAAATATTCATTTTTATTCTAATATTAGAAGATCCAGTAATAGAATTATATTGTATATATTCAATATCAAAATGAATAAATATTTTAGTTTGTTTAAGAATACAATTAACAAGAATATAAAATATGCAATAAGGAATACAAATTGGAATAATTTATAATCTTCTATTAATATCTTATATCTTTTCAAACCTATTATTGATAGCTTAACAGATACTTATTAAATTTTAATATCATTCAACTTCATACTTATTTTGGCATAATTATTTTAGTTAATTTTAACTTAATCTGGCCTTATATACTTAGTAATAAAGGCCAATTATTAGAATTAATTTTATTATAGCATTTAAAATTTTTTATTTTTAAAAAGTAACTTAAATATAATAATTAAATATTATATATTTTGAACAACTTTGCATAGCTAATAACAATACTTTATTAAAGATAAAGGCATAGTCTCACTATTAACATTAAAAAAAAAACAATACTTTATTTAATTAAAAATATTTATTATTCAAATTACTATATTTATTTAATGTAAAAAATTTTTTTATTCTTTTAACTAGAAGATATAATGTTAGAATACTTTTATTATTAAAATATTCTACTATATTACTATTTATTTAATAATAATTTCTTATATCTATTATATTATTAATATAACTAAAAGCTTTATTAAATCTAAACTTTAGCTACTTTAATACTACAATGTTGAAATTATTATTAAAAAAATATAAAAATACTTTCTATTATCTAATCAGTACATTATTACTTATTAGATTTTTAATATAAATCTAAACTATACAAATTTTATTTTTTACTTCCTATTGATCATAAATAATGTATCAAATACTATCTTAATTTTTATAAAATTAATTAAACTTGTTTTTATTGAAGTTTCTACAATTATTTCAGTACAATTTCTTGGTAAAATTAACTTAAACTATCTACTCAACCTTAATGCTAATTATTTAGATCTTATTTTCTTTATAGCTATAAAATATTTAACTTGTATTTCATTATTTATTATATTAATTACTAATGTAATTGGTTCTAAAATCTTTATCTTAAGTGAAATTACTAATAAATTATAACTATGTTATATTATAATTACTTCTATTAATAACTATTTTTCTAACCTAAAAGTTTTATAATTAATATCAGTACTAATCAATATACAATAAATATTGACTGAATTCAAAATAATAATAATAATAAAACTATTAATTTCTTTTTTACTAAAATACAAGTTCGATTTTTATTATACAAAGCTAAGCTTTTTTTAATTATTGCTATAATTTTAACAGTTTTTTACAATTTAGTAGTTAATATTTTTACTAATTCTTAATTAATAATCTCTTGATTTAATAATTTTTAACTTAACTTATCTTAATAAGTTATTTAAATTTAACTTATAGCTTATCTGGTATACTTTTTTTAAATATTATTAAATTATATAAATTACAAATTGTTTTTTAAAAAGTATAGACTAATTTAAATAATTATCTTAATGAGCAACCAGACTCTTTATTAAACAATACTTACTATTATTACTTCTTTTATTTAGTTATATAAAACTTTATAACTTCTATTACATTTTTTAATAATAATAATATTAGGATTTTATAATTTTCACTTATGCAATGTATTATTACTTATAAGATTATATATAATGTTAAATCAAA